GACGTCTCCACTTTACATATCCGCCGGCATCCCGAACTCTCTTTTTGCACCTCCGTTTCTGGATTCCTTTTAAGGGTTCCCCGAAGGGCTGTTTACCAGGATTACTGGAAGAGGTTTAAAGCCTACTGTGAGGATTTCGTACAGAGGTCTGGGCAACCAGAATGGGCTTGGGCGCTTCCACCCGAAACACTAAACCCGAAACCCTAAACCCCAAGCCCGAAACCCGAAACCCTAAACCCTAAACCCGAAACCCTGTAGACCTTAAACCCTAAACCCGAAACCTTCAGTATGATTCTACGTTAGTTCAGGGCTCAGGTTGGAAAAGTCGGGCTTGAGGGCTCTAGAGTTTAGGGGTTTAGGGTTTACGGTTATAGGGTTTATGGCTCAGGGTTTAGGGTTTACTGGTTAGGCTTTAAGGGTTGAGCGGTTTAGGGTTTACTGGATAGGCTCTAGGGTCTAGGGGTTTAGGGTTTACGGTTAGGATTTAAGGTTTGCTGGTGAGGCTTTTGGGTTTAGCGGTTTAGGGTTTACGGTTAGGGTTCAGGGCTTAGGGTTTAGGGTTTAGGGTTTAGGGTTTACTGGTTAGCTTTAAGTTTTAGCGGTTTAGGGTTTACTGGTTTGGCTTTAGGGTCTACTGGTTAAGGTTTAGGGTTTAGGCTTTACTGGTTATGGCTGAGGGTTTAGGGTTTACTGGTTAGGGTTTTGGTTGTAGGAAAGCACTGGGCGTTCCTAAGCCGGGTTCCGGCCGTTGAATTTTCAACTTTTCCCACACATATAGCCATTCTTCTAGACGAGCATCGAAAGTATACATGGAGACAGGGAAAACCTACAGCTTTGTAACCCTAAACTCGAAGCCCTAAACACATATAGACAGGGAAAGCCTACAGCTTTGTAGAATTCACAGTTGATTGTGTCTGGAGGGTTCGGGTTCTCGGTTCGTCGCTGCGGGCGTTGAGTAAGCTCTGGATCTGTGGGTTTCTGGGTTGGAGGGCTTGGCACTGAATGATCTCGAGGGTTTAGGGTTTAGGTTGGGTTTATGAAACCATGAGGCCTGTTCGAAAGTACTTGGAGGCTCAGGCAGACTTAGTATACTCACTTACAGCCCCAATTCAGGTACCTTTCTGGTTCCTGAATGTAGGCGGCTGATTGATGAACCGCCTCCCCGCAGGAGTTTTGTAGGGATCCCAGTATCGTGGCCTTTCTGAGTAAACCCAAATAAGAAGTAAAGGGGATTCATAAAATTAAGGAACCCAAATAAACCTCTCAATAACAGGAGCCCTGTTCTAAGGACGCCTAGTCTACGTCCTATGTAACGCATCAACATACCTGAACAAGTCGAGCATCCATGCCCATGCAGCCCATGCCAGGCATGCCGCCCATGCCGCCCATGCCGCCCATCATGCCACCCATGCCGCCCATTCCACCCATGCCGCCCATCATCGAGGACAGATCCTTGGTGGGCACACACACCCTCTAAGCGCGAAGACTTGGTGCTCCCGCGAGCGACCTATCCTCTCTTCGTCAACCCTCTCCCGAATACCAACCATCAGATAGGCGCTTGAGGATCTTATGTTATGCGCACTATGAGAACATGGGGATGATAAGGGCATATCGTTCGACCCGTATCTTGCGCTTCGGGCAGCAGGCATTCAGCTCGAGGTTGCTGTGGCACAAGGAGTCCTATGTGAGGATACCCTAAACCCTAAACCCTAAACCCTAAACCCTAAACCCTAAACCCGCTCCAAAAGAGAAGCCCCACAGTCCCGAAGCAACCTGTGCGGTATGGAGATTCTCGGCACTAAGGTTTGGCTTCGGGTTTAGGGTGTAGGGTTCTTGCAGTACCATTCGTGAGAGCCCAGGCCGTATTTGAGAGCCACACCTGGAGGACGCCCTGCATATTCTACCCCTCTAATACAATGTACCATAATGCCATAAACCCAGAATGCAAAGCTCTATAGCACTTATCATCAGATCCCAGCTTCCTGGGATTTTAGCGAGTTTCAAAACCTAGGATTCTTCCTACATGAAAGTAAGTTCCTCTACCCTAAAACCCTAAACCCTAAACGGCCCTAAACCCTAAACCCTAAAAAAGCGCCCTGGCTGAGGCCCGCAACCATGCCCCCGAGGCCACCCATGCCAGGCCTCACTTGGAATCTGGGTCGTGAAGGGATGAAACATGGCTACCACGAGGCTTCCTAAACCGTAACCCTAAAGCCTGAACCCCTAAACCCTGAAACCCTAAACCCCTAAAGCCCTAACCCCCTAAACCCTGAAACTCGAAAACCCTATAAAGCCCTAACCCCCTAAACCCCTACACCCTGGAACCCTAAAACCCTAGAAAACCCTAACCCCCTAAACCCCTAAACCCGTTCGAGGCTGCCTTTATAGGGATCCTTCAAGGGATCCTTGTGGCGATGTGGGGGTTTTCAAGGGCTTCAGGGCTTTGGGAGTCAGGGGTTGTAGGGATTTTGGCCTCAGGGCTTTCGGGCTTAGGGTTAAGGGCTAGGGGCTTCTGGGTTTTCGGGTTCGGGGTTACGGGTTTAGGGTTTGGTGGGTTTGGTGGTCTTATGATGAAGGAAATGTGTAGGCTTTAGGGGCTGAAGTCGGATGCCTGTCACCCTTCGCATCATTCGGGCAACAAGAAACCCTATTCTGGTGTAGGGGCCTTAATAATTAGAACAGGGATTTTTGGCTCATTATACTACTATAATATAATTATAGTAAGGAACCCCCCAAAATCGTGTTGGTAATTCGCCTCGGCCCCGGCCGAAGCGGTCAAAGGTTCCTATTCGGATTCCCTCTCTTCCCCCGCTTTCCCGCCATTCTTGCTTCCGCTTTTCCGCCATTCTTGCTTCCGCTTTTCCGCCATTCTTGCTTCTTTCTTTCGATTCTTGTTGCTTGCTTTCCACCTTACTTTTTTCCTGCCCGTCCCAACTGCACTGGCTGAGAGGGGCAGCCGTCGATGCGCCGCAAGCCAACGGTCTTTAACGTTTGCGTTCGCCTCGGCCCCGGCCGATTCAGCGCATACGTGTGCAGCCGGGCCGAAGCAGGCGACGCGAAGCGTTCAACTTTATTGAGGCCCCTACTCTGATCATTCAGGCCCGTATATGAGGGGTTTACGGCTGCAGACCAGGCATTCCTAGGCACAAGGGCTTAGGCCTCAGAGATGAGACCTTTAGGGCTGAGGGTTTGGGGTTTAGGGCTTTAGGGTTAATTAAGGATTAGTTTAGGCTTGAGGGTTTAGGGATAGTTTAGGGTTGGGGGTTGAGGATTAGTTTAGGGTTTAGGGCTTTCGGGGTTTAGGGTCAGTTTGGGGTTTAGGGTTTTAGGGTTTAGGGTTAGTTTAGGATTTAGGGTTGAGGTGCTTCGAGCTCTTGAAGACGAGACCTCGAAGCCTCCTTGCCAGCCTCAAGAGAAGACACGCCTAATCCTGAAAGGGTTTAGGGTTTAGGGCTTAGGTTTTTTTTTTTAAGCGCCCCTTTTACCGTTCGCAGAAGCAGGGTTTAGGGTTTAGGGCTAGGGTTTAGGGTTTAAGGTTTAGGAGCCGAAACCGCAAACCATTGAACCTAATGTAGGGGCCTTAATAATTATGGGGGTTTAGGGTTTAGGGTTTGTGAGTTCTACAAAGCTGCAGTGCAGGGGCCCTAATAAGTAGAATAGGGTTTGGGGATGTAGTTTACTGTAAGTAGAACAAGGAACCTCCAAAATAGTATAGGTAACTATTCAAGCCTCTATAGTAAGCCTTAAACCTCCTCTAAATGCGAAGCACCCCGGATCCACAAACCTTAAATCCGACAGCGGCCTCAAACTCTGAAACTCTCAGCGCGTCATTTCTTGCAAAGCTCAGCGGCATTCCGCCCATTCCGCCCATTCCGCCCATGCCGCCCATGCCGCCCATGCCGCCCATGCCACCTTCCTCCTCATCTTCGCCACCTGACGGAAGCGAGTACACCAGCTTAGGCTGTTGAGGCTTTTTGGGGTTTAGGGTTTGGGGCTGAAGGGTTCTAGGGCCTTCATGGCTTTTCTATAGAAATGTGACACTTTCCCATAGATCTTCTCACCGAAATCCGCACCCAAACCAAAATAAAAGCGGAGTGACTGACATGTTCAGAACAGGGCAGTCGTGTAGTATCACAGCGTAATTACTATGCAACAGTAGTTCCGACTGAGAAGCCGAGATCTGTATGGGGCTCCATTCTCCGGCGGCTGCAGACCGCTGCGGAGACTCCAGAACCGACTCTTCCCACCCCTTACCCTCAAAGGACTCATATCTTAAGGCTTTTGGGCCCAAAGACCCTATTATATAAGGCTTCTGGGCGATTTTGAATGGTAAGGGGAAGCAAAGCTATGCCCTAGTTCTTCTTGCGTCTCCAAACTAAACATCCCAAACCAGCGCAACACCCAACTTTCGAACCCTGGCCCTCACGACCTCACAACGCCCCTTGGTAGCTAGGACAGGACATTTCTGTAGGGGCCTTAACAATTAAGAATAGCGTTTTTGGGTATATTATACTACAAATAATAATAAGGAGCCACCAAAATAATGTAGGTATTTCTTTTAGCCGTTTAGGTCCCTGTGTTAACCGGCATTCCCGGAAATTCCCCTTTGGCACGACATCTGCTTGACGGATGTATGCCTTCTGGGCTGACAAACATTCCCGGCGTTTACCCAGCAACATATCGTAAATCGTCAACCTCAACTAGATCCCTGTGCTTTGAGTTCACACTGCTTGCACTATTCAATTTCCAAAAGGGAAGGTAAAGCGGCACAGCTGGGGAACCTGGGCAAGGTTCTACACACATTGAACCGGGAAGGGAATAAACGATCGACCGGTAAATTGCCGGGTTCGTGTGTTCACACCCTGAACTTTACTTCTAGTCTCCATTCTAGTTCCCCGTTTGGTCTAGCCTTTTTTCATTTAGGATCCCATAAAGGTAACTCCAGAAAGGAACGACAAGCCAGACTATAGTGACTCTAGGAAACTCCTAACGAAAGCCACCTCCACTGCCGGACGACTCTTGCAGCTTGAACCACGGCTGTTCCTCCTGTCCAAAGAGTTGAGAAAAAGGCCGCGAAGTCGACCTAAAGGAAGGGTTTTGAAGTTTATAACCCTAAACCCTACACCCGTAAAGGGTCTCCATGTAACCAAACTGACCTCAATGATGGGATTTCCTACCTACGTCAGCATATTTGATCTGAGAATCCTAGAAGGGTCGTATGTACCCACGGCTTAAGGCTTTCGTAACACTCCGCATCTAGGCTCCCCAGTATCCCCTGTAATACGAAGCAGCAGAAGGCTAGCTGTGCTCTAAATACAAACCTCAGTTTCCCGAATAAATAAAGCGGAAAGGAGTGTGCAGTGCGCATACCGGTCGAACTCATCCACGAGGAAAGCCTAAACCCTAAAACCTTAAACCCTAAACCTGCGGATTTGGTTCGCACTTGACGGTGGCGACATTTCCTCTCTGCAGCGGTCTAACTTGAGCTTCCTCTGAAAGCCGGGGTGGGCTTACGGGGTTTGGGGCCTAGAGGTTAGAGTTTAGGATTTTCGGGTTTGGGGAGGTCCTGAACGTGCAGTAAAGAGGCTTCCCGTTCCAGAAAAGATGTCCCTAAACCCTTAAACCATAAACCCTTCACCCCAACCTAAACCCAAAGCCAGGTGCGGTCGTTCATCCCTAAACCCATATATGTAAACCTTAAAACCCCTGAACCCCTAAACCCTAAAGCCCTGAATCCATGGACTCCGGCGGCTTGCTGGTACGAGTTCACCAACTTGAAGAGTTATCCCAAAGCGACGAACAAGGCCACGAAGATCCCCTAATGTAGGGACCTGGATATGTAACATAGGAATTTGGGTGCGGGGGATATTTCTACCTAGAACGAGCAGCGTTTCGTATGCCAATTGGGCCAGCACTGCACCGATTGCCACTATACATTAACTTCAAGACGCCGGAAATTGGATCCACGGACCCTAAACCCTAAACCCTAAGGCGCCGCCTCCCGGCCTTGGGGTTTAGGGATTTTGGGTTTTTGGGGTTTAGGGTTTTTGGGTTTTTAGTTTCGGGGTTGTCGGGGTTGTCGGGATTGGGGCTCAAAAAAGCCGACCTTTCTGCGTCACAAGTGGCCCCTTCGAGTTTGGAGCTACCTACTTTTTTGTAGGGTCCCTATAAATCCCATATTAGGGTTTATAATAAGAACCTACAAAAAAGTGGGTTTTGGGTTCTTAAGGTAGGCACCCTGAACACCGAAGTCCCGAAGCTGCATAATATAGGGGCCGGAAATGATTAGAATAGGGCTCTGGGGCCCATTATACTGTAATTATACTAAGGAACCCCCAAAATAGTAATGATCTAGGCCTCTATGTCAGGTTTTGTAGGGTTCAGGGAGTTGCGAAGAACTCCAGCCGCTCTAATTCTAGCCCTCCATGCAAATTCCATGCCAGCCGGCTTTCGGGGTGCAGTGTTCGTAGGGGGGAGGTCAGGGTTTAGGGGTTACTTTGCAGGTCAGTAGGCTTGAGGGTGTCTAGTCCTTCTTGGTCAGCTTGAGCACCACCATGCCTCAGCGCACCGTACTTCGCAACAGCACCAACGCCCCCCAATGCCCAAAGGTGTAAACACTGAGACTTCACAAAATAGCCCCCAAAAGCTCCAAACCCCGGGTGCTAACAAGAGAGCTTGCTTCGAAACCAAATCGAAGGACAACCTTGCTAGTAATCAGTATGTAGGGTTATAAGCTATAAGTAAGGTAACCTGGACAACATAGTAAGATTTGCCGGCAAGCACAATTGAGGTACTTGCAAGACTACTTACTATGTGCCCTGATCTTTTCAGACTCATGGGCCTTGGCCGAATGCCAATGATGCAGTGATTGGTGTCCTCAACATCTGGCCCATGTACGCCCTACACAACACCCTAAGCCCAACGAAAACGGGCCTGGGAACATACTGCATTATGTATATACATGTGTGAATGGGTGTGTGGACTGTAGAGGTGTAGACTCCAATACATATATTTTTTACATACATACATACATACATACATACATACATACATACATACATACCTGCGTACATACATACATACATACATACATACATACATACATACATACATACATACATACATATATATATATAGGTACATCTATATATATATATATATATATGCGTATATGTGTGTATTTGCATATGTGTGTGTGTGTGCGTATGTGTATGCATGGCTGGCTGGCTGGCTGGCTNNCATACATACATACACATGTGCATATATATGTATGCATATACATAATATATACATAATATATATATAACAGAAAATATTACAGCTTATCGTTCTCTTTCTTTCGCTCTCTCTTCTCTCTGTTTGTATGTCTGATTGTCGGACCTTCATACTCGAGAGCCCCAAGTGAAGCAGCCCTCGGTGCCGCCGCGCTGCCCTTGCCTTTCTTGTGATTCACCTGTGCAGTGGCACTGCTTGAGACCGAAAGGGCCTGAAACCTTAAATGCGACATCCTAAATCCGAACTCCTAAATCCAAAAACCCTAACCCTAAGCCCCAAACCCCAAACATCCCTACACGCAAAACGCTACACTTTGGCCCTAAACCTAACCCCAAACCCTAAACATCCCTACACCCAAAACTTTACACTTAGGCCCTAAACCTAACCCCAAACCCTAAACATCCCAACACCCAAAGCTCTACACTTTGGCCCTAAAGCCAAACCTCTGAAGGCCGATCTTCTGCAGATCAGGGTTCAGTGCTCTGAATCCCGCCATGCAGCCCTGAATTCTGAAGTCACATTGCGCTAGGTTGAGAGTTTAGGGGTTTAGGGTTTAGGGGTTTAGGATTTAGGGGTCTAGGGTTTAGGTGTTTAGGGGTTTCGGGGTCTAGGGGTTTATAGGGGTTTACTGTTGAGGGCGCTCAGCGTTAAAACCGTAATCCCGGCAGATGCCATCGTCCCTGCACCCTGAGATCCTGACACGCTTTGGCCTAAAAGCGCGAAAGCCTCAAGCCCCCAAAGCCGACCTGATGTAGGGGCATGAATAAGTACCAACACTATTTGTGCGAGTTCCTTATTATACTTATCGTATAATGGACCCCAAAACCCTATTCTAATTATCAAGGCCCCTATATTATACACCCTCTATTACACCCCAAATACCCGCTCTGAAGGACATAAGGGCGAAAACCGAAATGCGGAAGCTAGGGGTCCGCCTCAGAGTTCCCCCCCAAAAGGTACACATTTGGGGTTTAGGGTTTAGGCTCTAATCATAAATCAAACGGGGTGCTGGGCAGGGGCATCTATAAACATAAGGGGTATTCTAACGGGACTGTGGAAGCCTATAACGAGTTATTCCGGCTTTATTCCGACGCCTCAAAACCCTAAACCCTGAACCTTAAACCTTCAACCAAACCCATGTTGCGCATATTAACTTAAGGTTCAAGGCTGGATTCTCAACGAGCCCAGCAGCTCTTCCGGAAGGGATAGCCTCGCTATTCAAGATCTTTGTATACGGAGCCCTAGCCAATGCTATACCAATTCCAGGTAACCCTAAGCCCTAAACCCAAACCCCCGCAGTATACATTACGCAACTGACAAGTTACAGAGATGCAGGATTAAGACTCGAGGCTTACGGCGAGGAAGAGCTGAAGCGCCTGAAGTCCCAGACTCCTAGACTCGCTTCTTCTATGATTTGGGGTCCGCGTTTGTGGGCTTGAAACTGGTCCTGACCAAGACATCAAATCAAACAGTCCTCAACTCAAACACGTGTGGTTCTGAGTTTGGGGCGAAGGTCTGAAAGCACGGCTGAAAGATCGGGCTTCTCCAAGTCTTTTGCTACCAACTGCCATGTCTCTCACTGCCCAGCTCGCAGATGCCTCACGAAAACCTTGAGGTTGTAGATCTCCTCCTGCAGGTCACTGATGCGCCTTTCCGACATGATCTCCAAGCGTGACAACTTCTCTGCTTTGCTCTGCGGATCGTCGCTGACCTGCGATGGGAGAACACGATCGGGGTGGCACAGGATCGTCTTCTGCCAGTGGCTCAATGCCCCAGCAACGCATACTGCGGAAATGAACTTCTGAGTTGCACCATGGCGCCGAGCGACTGCTGCCCTGGCTCGGCGCCTCTGGCCACGATTTCCGAAGATTAGGGTACCTTATTTTGGGGTCCTTATAATAAGGGTCCTACTATTTGGGGTACTGTATTAGGGTCCTCTGGAACTTTCTGGGACAGCCGGGGCCGATGGAACTCCGTCGCCGGTCACGCAAAGAAGCCAGGAGATGAACTCATCCTCGTCAATCGTGCATGACCCATCTGTATCTAAAGCACGGATCATATCATCAAGTTCTGCCTCGCGGATCAAGCCACGTTGCAGAAAGAAGAGGCGCAAGTCTCCCTTCGACACATGCCCGTTCCCATTCAGATCAAAGAAGCTGAAGGCATACTCTACGTCGGTCACCGATAGCTCCTGCGTCATCCAGCGAAACTCTTCGACATCGATACCGCCGCTCCCATCCAGACCCAAGGACTCAAACAAGTTTTCAGCATTGCTCTGGCTCAGAAGCCCCACCAGGGAAAGGACAAACTCATCTTTGCTAATGTAACCATCTTTGTCAGCATCCAATGCATGGAATGCAACCTCGGAGGCCGTCCCAACGGGTCGAGCTGCCCGCCATTTTTGAAGGCAGGGGGGCTACGCAGACTGCACCTTCTTGGGCGAAAAGGGGGGCAAACAAGTATGGTCTAGCACTGTCTAGCAGGCAAGAACGACACCCTAAACCCTAAACCCGAGACCCCAGATGCCCTGACCAGTGCATGTCGCCTCTGGTCCTGCCACCTACAAATGACATTCGCTAGCAGCTTTGCGTGGAAGCCAAGTACCATAAACTTTCCTTAGCCATGTAGAGCCCCAAACCCCTAGGGTTTAGGGTTTAGGGGTAGTGTGCTCAAGATCGATATTGTGGCACCTGTTTGCCTGAACCCAGTGCCTTCCGTCCCAAAGATTCACATACGAGGCTCCGAAACCAGAAAGATCTCAAGCTGGGCTCCCTGAAGAACTGTAGCTGAGCCGGTGCAGCCAGAATATAGGTAACCCCAACAGGGCATCATTCCATCAGCATAATATAGGGGCCTAAATAATCACCCATATTATCTAGTAGCTTCCTTGCTACACATGTAGTATAGTGGGCCCCGAAACCTTATTCCAACTCTTAAGGCCC